GCCATCTGATGCGGCCGGAAGGAGTTATTATACGCGCAACTGCTATTCTAAATCTGATTCCACTCTTCAGATGTCACTAGGCCCAACTCTGAGATGAAACTAAACAAAAAAGGAAAACTCCGTGACTTTAGTCCACAAGCGAACTATACCGACCGAGCAACCGCCGCTTGTTGGCAAAGTTTATTGCCAAATTTGCGGATAGAGGGTGTCGCGTGGTCAGCGCAACGAATCCCCACGGCCGTTAATAATTATATGACATAATTATTGAAATCTTCATAGTTTTACTCTGATATTCATTTCTTTATGAGAACCAATACTGAAACCCAAATAATTAAAATGTAATGCTTCTTCAAGCGTTTGTTCAATAAATAATATAAAATAAAGTTGTCCCTATGCTTAGCTAATTAAAAACTACGTCATGAAGACGTTTGAGGGAGTGGATGTATAGATCTACATTTTCTTTACCTCGGCACTATATGGAGGTGAGTGGTCAGCTTCACGCTCCTGCTGCTTTACCTCCGGGGAAAGGGTCCTATATACCTATTGGATAGGTTGTGGGTGGGCCTCAGAGCCAGTCTGGATGAGATGGAGAAGATTCTTGACTACCAGGGCTCAAACTCCGACCCCTATGTCATCCAGCCCGTACCCAGCCGAAGTACAATTTTAATTATTTTAGGTGGGGCGGGGGGGGGGGGGTTTCCTTTGAAGTCTAAAATTTGTATTTCGTCTGTGGATATTCTCATGCCGTAATCTTTGCTTGTTTTACTAAATTTATATATAGCGTTAACAAATTATCTTCTCAGTTAGATATACATGTATTCAGAAGCTCATCAGCGTAAAGGGCACACAATAAAAGAGTGACTGTAAATAGTATCTAGCACGATAGTCAGTAATACAGGCTAACGTTTTACCTGCTGTTCAGTTTCAGATGGGCTATACGTGTAACCTCAGAGTCATCGTTGAGATAAAGCTGAGAGTCGGTTCATTTTTCCAGGTACAGTGGAAACTACATTAACATTAAAAATCTCAGCATCTTGTCACAAAACGTATTTATGTGCCATATGATTTTCAAAATCGGCAGCTGTTGTTTCTTTAAACGCCCTCAGTTTGTTGGTGATTGTAATGGGGACGCAGTGTGATTTCTCTGGGGTATGAGCTGAATTCTTAAATACTATTTAGATGAACTTTAAAATTCTCAGTATGCATCCAAAAAGACCTGCGACCGACCAGATCGACCAAGGTTTTCTGTGGATTTCCTTGATCCTGGACCAAATGCTGAGATGTAACCCAGATTCCAGCTTGCACTGCGTGCTGCACATGCAGCCCTCCAAACACTAATAACAAAACTCAATCTTAACAGAAAAGGAAAAAAAAAGAAAGAAAGAAAAAAGAAACTGCTCGTTTTTATTCTCTCTGCTGCATAGCCACATGACTGTCAACTTCCTATCGCTTTATCTTATTTTCTTATAATCGTTTTACCTACTTAATTTTCCACTGCTTTTATTTGGCACCAACTTAAATTTGCCCGAATAGCAAACGGATATTAACTGGGAATCTTCGGAGCCAGAATATTTATCTGTTTTCAGTTTTCCCACCATAAAAATTTACAAGTAGTATCACTCACTGCCCTCCCTCGTCCATTTCTTCTTTCTTCTTTAATCTTCAGAGCGTTAAGCGATAATGTATAGATTATTGTTATAAAAATGGTTAAAATTGAAGTTCTGATTGGATGCCAGGGACTAAAAACGAATGTAGAACTTTTACGGATAAATCTATAGCTCCCCGTTTGTGTATGGCACACGGTCAGAGCGTTTATATGAACATATTTTAGATTACAATAAAAAACTCCGTGGTTTTTAGTCCGAAAGCGAATTATACCAACCGAGCGACCGCCGCTTGTCGGCGAAGTTAGTGCCAACTTTAGCGGACAGGGTGTCGCGTGGTCAGCGCAACGAACCCCCACGGCCGTTAATCTCGGTTTTCTAGACCAAAGCCTCTATTTCCTTGAAACAGCTCCTCAGTTATCCTCACGAGGCTGAGTGGACCCCGTTCCAGACCCACTACTTATGCACCTATTTTCAGTTTCTGTAACGACGTTCTCAGTAACTCAGGCGATATAATCGAATGACTGGATGACTGTGAATATCGAAACTGAACGGACATGCAAAGAAACGGTCGTGGTGTAATGTAAAATACTATCCCTGAACTTATCTGGAAGGACTCACATAAACCATGAAACACTTGAGCAGGGATAATTGGTATTCCCGGCCGAGATTTGAACAGGCTCCCTTACCTCTGACTCAACTTGAGCAACACCTTTTAGATTAGTTGCAGAAAATCAGAAATTTATCGAACAAAAGTAAGTAAAGCTATCCATGTAAGAGGCCGTGAAGGCCCATAGGGTTGTGAGATGTTAAGGTTCCCACACTATCTAGACAATCGGCTCAAAGATGGCGGTAAGGTTGTCAGCCTTACGCGCCGGCCCCGCTTTATCCCCAAGAATATTACTGGTATTCATTTCTGTTAGAGTTGAGTCGACCCCAGGGCCATAGTGCGGCTGATAGGATTAGGTAAATTGAAGAAATCCACCTCATCGGGATTCGATCCCGAAACCTTCCAGTTTGTAGCATAGTTCCTCAACCAACTACGGTACCGCGTGCCCCCTGATCGAACAAAAGATCCTAAGAAGTATTTTGAATATAACTTCAGCCGGGAGGTAGACGAAAGGTAGGAAGGCCTGGATTCAGATGGCTGGAAGAAGCGGATGAGATGGAACAAAAGGCAAGCAGTGAAGAACAGGCATCTGTCTTGAAGGAGGCCAAGGTCCTACAGGATCGTAAGGCCAAGGAGAAGTACGTAATTGAGAGATCGACGGTAATAAGTGCATACACTTCATGGACAGAAAAGGATAGAAACTAGCACTCTGGTTAGTCACACTGCGAAGGCCGTAGGAGGCGTGGAGGTAAAGCTTCATGAATGCCTAATCTCGTTTGTAGATGGAAGTGAGTGGTCAGCTTCACAATTTTGGCCATCTTTGGCCCCTGTAACCGTTGAATAGGGAGTGTCATGGCTGCGCAAGTAAGAGTAAATACATTTTGATATTAAAAACGGTATTGATTACTTTACAAAATATATAAACGTATTTTGAGCTAGAATTTTGTAGACCATATCCATTTTAGTGATATGTGTAGTGTATATTTTACTACGTATGTAGCGTATATATCTAAAGCATGTACTGTCTTCGCTCTCTCGGAAGCCGGGATCGTGGGTTCGAATCCTACACAAGACATGGATGTTTAATATGTGTATGTGTTTATTCTGTGCTTAGGTAGAGGCCTTGTGACGATCTGATCACTCGTCCAAGGAGTCCTACCGTTTGTAAAATGATCATGAAACTGACAATCAGAGGCCAGGGCCCAAGGGGACTGTAGAGCCAGTGAAAAAAAAAAAAACGTATATGCGACCCGAACGTATTCCAAAACAGTTAATGAACTATACAGAAGAGGAACAAGGTCCATTGGACGCCCGAAGTTAATGCTGCAAGGATCAACGCACCTTATAGAGGAACGGAACGGATCTAAGGTCCAAACCTAGATGATGATGATGATGATGTGTATATTACATAGCTCTCTGTATAGAGAGTACTCTATATTACAAATTCACACTTTCAGCTGAAGGGTGTCTCATTTACAAGTATATGGACGAATGAACTCAACAAGCCGATCACAGTGGTCGTGCGGTCTAAGGCATGAAGTGGCTTCGTCTGCTCGAAAAATGGGACCCTGTATTCGAATACCACTTGAGGCATGGATGTCAGTCGGCGTTTCTTCTGTGTTTATGTTTCCTGTGTAGGTAGCGACTTTGCGACAGGGCTGATATCCTTGCATGAAGTCCTATAGCCGTGTATGAATCCGTAGTTACAGGTCACTTCTGGTGGGAACAGACCAGAGGGCCCAATGCGAAATGTTGAAGAAGAAGAAATCAACGTAAGATCAGTATGCTCAATGGAGGATACGCACCTAATTGAAAGGTTTATCGATTCTAATGCTAAAATATGATGCAACTTTATGTGTATATACTCCATTTTCTTTCCTTCGCACTACAGCCCCAGTGGGCCTAGGCCTACCTCCATGAACTTCTCCGTTCACTTCGGTTTTTCTAGATCTTACACATTCCGTAGGACTCCTTGCGTGGGTGATCAGCTCGTCGCAAGGCCTCTACCTGTACACAAACACAGAAAAACGCACACACACAAATTAAACATCCGTGCCCTCAGTGGGATTCGAACCAATGATCCCGGTTTCCAAGCGAGCGAAGACAGTACATGCCTTAGACCGCTCGGCTACCGTGATCGGCGTGTACTCCATTAGAACATCTATTTCAGTTTTGTTATGGTTTTAATGGAGATGCCTTGCGCTGATCACGTGACACCCTCTATCCGCAAAAGTTGGCATTAAACTTCGTCGACAAGCGGCGGTCGCTCGTTCGGTATAGTTCGCTTGCGGACTAAAATCATGGAGTTTATGGTTTTAATCAGAGTGGCGGTTGTATCTTAGAGCATGTTCTGTAGGTCTGTGTTCCTTCACTTTTGTACACCGATATGAACTTGTATTAAAGCCGAAGAAACTGTTGAAATTAACGTCACAGTAATTTATAATGTATAATCATTACGTAACCGTTCTTCGCCCCGGATAATGGTTGCTTTCCCATCAAAATTTATATTTGCTGAAGCTTTAAAGGAGGACTAATGGTTATATTAAGAAATTAAAAGATGGGAACAAGGACTCGAATCACATCCCTTGATGTCACCTCAATATCTGCACATCGCTTCAACAGCCCTGACTAGCTCAAATAGTAACAAAATTGAGAAGTAAATTTTGTAATGTTTTTGTGTGTTATCTACTTAGTCCGCGGCAGGAAATAGGACGGTTACAGTTTTATGAATACCGAATTTAAGTAGAGTGGGGCCTACGTGTCCCACAGCGTTGAGATACCTGAGCTGCAACTGAAAAAATGTATTGTGAGCTTTCGTGGTTTCCATAAATCCTTCTAGACTAATTCTGAGATAACACATTTTCCTCCCATCCTTTTTGCGTCACAGAATCATCATATTAGAGTCCATTTGAAAACACGTTTTGTCAGTCGTTGATAAAGCACCATAAAATCACCCAAAGAGCAGTCTTCACAAAGGGTTGTTTCACACACGTCATTTCATTAAGTACACTAAGAAATTGTAGACGAGGTCCAGGAAGTATGGGGGGTCAGTCACGTGGGACTCGTTTTCCGAGAGAGGCAGGGAGTCCCAGAAGTCCATGCGTTCTTTGAACCAATCCTGCTTCATTGTCAGGTTAGGACCAGCACTGATCTTCAGATAACGCAAATGTTTCCCTGGAAATACCGGATCCCATAATGCGTTGTTCACAGCTTTCCCGTAATTATCGCTGTCAGCAGCATTTGTCCATTGTGGTGTATAAGGTGTTGGGTCACTGAAATGGAACGAAAATACCGGGTAAAGGATTTACAAATTCAAGAAACATATCATCAAGTATAATACATTTTGGATTTGAAAAACTGAAAAATTAAGTACCACTTTTCCATTTTGATTTTTAGAGTTTTCAGGAAATTCGCAACTATTTAAAAATACATTTCCTTATTCATTCGAGAGCCGAAATATCTCTGCCACTCTACTAACTAGGCTACAGGCTGGACAATCAGGGAACCAGGGTTCGATCACCTACACAGGCAGACATTTTTCTCCGTTATATCCATACCAGCTCTGGGGTCCATCCAGCCTCCTGTCAATATGTGCTGCGTGCCATTTGCAGACAAAATTGGCAAGGCCATGAAGCTACTGCGCTCTGCCATCCAGTGCCGAGGTTAAGATTGGTTGAAGCTATAAAGCACCTTGGACTTAGTCATCCAATCTAACTTCGTGGCCTTCAGTCCGTAAGCGAACTATACCGACCGAGCGACCGCCGTTTGTCAGCGAAGTTAGTGCCAAATTTAGCGGATAGAGGGTGTCGCATGGTCAGCGCAGCGAATCCCCACGTCCGTTAATTTCGGCTTTCTAGACCGGATCCAATCTCATTATCCTCTCAATAAATCTCTTATTTACTTTTACTCTTTGAATTTACACAACTACTCTCTAACGACTCAGTAATCCAATTGACCTGCTCGACCACTGGGAGAGTGGTTACTAGTTGCTCATCCACTCACGAACACACTCAGACGCGCACAACAGCAAATCTGACCATCATTAATTTACTAACCCTCGTTACATAAGCGGTCTCCGTAGTCTAGAGGTAACGTTCCCACCTCATGACTCGTGGTACGCGGGTTCAAACCCGGCGGAGGTCGTCGAATTTTTAAGGGCGGAAAAATTCAGGGAACAAGTCCTCCGGGAGGGACTTTAAGCCGTGTGTCCCGTGTCGTAGCTTTACGGCACGTAAAAGAACCTCATATCTCCAAAAGAGGTCACTGAGCCAAATTCAAGGACGTTTCCCGCCCAACAGTAGTCTCTGACGCCTCTGATAGATGGGGGAAGCATTATAGATACCGCCAAGCCAGTGGAGGCCGAACTCGCTGGCTCGGTCGGGACTGATGGTACGCACCAATATCGGTAGGGTATAGAGACTGGTAGAATATCGTAGAGGGAAGCACAATGGACCAATACTGGTCTAAGTGCATGGGGAAACCCACCCTCTCTAATAACTAACTAACCCTCGTTACATACGTACATTCTATGTGTCACACATTCATATACACTGCTTTCGTTTCATACGACTTATTGTCTATTATGCGTCACAATCGTGTACACTCGATATATCTCGATATGGTTGACTTACCCGTACTTGGCGAAGTTCGTCCAGAGCTGAATAATTGTTTCTGACATTTGAATGTCGGGATGCTCGGGGGGCCAGTCAGGGAAGAGTAGTGGCAGGCGAAACAGGTAGATCAGGTCGTCACAATGGCTCACCCCTGCAAGACAAAGAAAATGGTACAGACAAGTGATTACTAACATGCGGGATCACGAAAGACGACGGGAGGGACCACTCAATGTGGCTGCTAGTTTTGCCTTATTCCGAATTTCCCCTTGCTCCTACACATGAAACAGCGCACGCATAGTTCCTTCTGATCAAATGCAGGGTGATTCACGAAGTTTTACCCCACTTAGGGAGGGCATTCCTGAGGTAATTTGGAACAAAAAATGTTAACATGCTAATGGTATCCAACTCATAATTAAAGAGATACAGTAATTTGAAAACTGGCGAAAAATCATTTTTCTTCGAATTTCAGTCAAAACAAATTAGAAAAACAATACAAACACTTTTTAAATCGTTAATGTTTTAGGAAAGAAGCATTCTAAAACCAAATTTTTCTTTTCAATTTCTTAATTTTGCATTGTGCAACATTTTTCATCGATTTTGTGTTACAAAATTACATTATTTTCAGCATCCCATTCTGTAAACATACCAATGAATGCATATCACACCCTTCTATCAATCTGTTTCCTTTAAGTTGTAGTGCTTTAGAAGACGACTGGATTTACATAAGATTTTCAAAAACGTCTCCCTGCACGTCAACACAATGCGTCGCACGCGTATGAACCGCTCTGCCTATCTACCTACGCGCAGCATTCAAACCAGTCTACCTTATCTGCTGACATAGCTGACTGGAACGTATGGTCGCCCACGCTGAAGCATAGCGCTGCATTCACAATGATGCGTTTCGAAAATCTATTGTTACTCCGTAACTATTGAAAATCGACCAAAAGTTTATAAGGAAATTTTGCTGGAAGTAACCCCAGGAATATGTACCATAAGCCGGGGTAAAACTTCGTGGATCACCCTGTGTAGTAGCGGGCAGCCGATCACATTGACCGCGCTGTCTAAGGCACGATGAAATGTCTTCACCCAAGAGAACACCGGGATCCTAGATTCGAATTCCACTCAAAGCATGGATGTCTATCTGTGTTAGGTAGCGGCTTGCGACGGGCTGATGCCCCGTCCAAGGAGTCCTGCCGGCTGTTTCAGATTAAGAAACTGAAGTGAAACGAAGCGTTTCACGGATGTGCTATGCTCCACATGGGAGCAACAGAAAAAGAAGAAGAAGCGGGCAAATGGGGGAAAAATCTGTTAGCTCAAAATACGAGTAAAAATGGTTGCGAGACAACACAATTTGAGAAACACTGACAAGGACCATTACATGGTTTGGACTTTATCGGCCCATATTCTAAGTGTGGATTCTTTGGTCTTCCAAAACATGTTTCCCGATGGATGTTATTCGCAAGCTTGTTTAGGTATTCGATAATACTCCATTTTTGTAAATGCTCCAAACAGTTACTTTTCTAATTTTGTATTTTTACATTTAGGCTGAAAACGTATATTTTCCATGAAGACTAATTACTGTCTTCTGGGCATGTAACGTCGTGAAGTCTGGTAGGTGTTTACTAACGTTTCGAAAGAATGTGATGTCTTAATTTTCAGGCCCAAAATGAGCACATCAGCTGTCTTATCAGACTACTCATCCCAGAAGATCAGCATACTTATTATTTTCTACTTTTGTCTTACGAACTTTGTACAGTAGTATGATTAGGAGTTTTCACGGATTTGAAGCATTACCTTGTGGACTTCTGAGCTATGCCATCGCGTAGCCTGTAGATGGATGTCAAGGTTTCAGAGGAAAACACTGCCTCCCTTATTAAGATAGATACAAAATTACATCATGTTACATAACTCAGAAGACCACAGCCTAAATTGATATAATGATAATTTAGATAATAAAAAACTCTGCAGTTTTTAATTCCTTCCGTAATAACATGTCGTGGCAAAAATGCAGATTTCTGAGGATAATGTAACACAAGAAATATATACTTTTTAATCCTAACGCTTAAATTTACTCGTACTTTGAACCCACAACTGACGAACTCATGTAGCCAGGAGTGTGGAATGTTGCGTTGGCTAGATCTACGTTTTGTATTAAACAATTCTCTGTACATAAAAATTGCAACATAATAACTGTGCGTCAGCTTCATAACTTGTACTCTTCTCCAAGTATAATTAGAATGATCAAGTCAAGGAGGATGAGGTGGACAAGGCATGTTTAACACGAATGGAGGAGACGAGGAATGAATATAGGATATTGGTAGGAAAGCCAGAAGGAAAAAGACCACTGGGAAGACCAAGGCGTAGGTGGGTGAATAATATTAAAAAATCTTAGAGAAATAGAATGAGATGGTATGGATTGGATTGATCTGGCTCAGGATAGGGACAAGTGGAGGGCTCTTGTGAACACGGTAATAAGCCTTCGGATTCCATAAAATGCTGGGAAGTTCTTGAGTAGCTGCAGAATTGGCTTCTCCTCAAGAAGGGCTCAGCTCCATGAGTAAGTAAATAACTGGGCGTGAGTTTGAAGTTACATCTGACAAATTTTTGGGTACTTATGCCAACAGAAAGCACAGGAAAAGGTAGAAGTACATGAATAATTTGCCTAAATGCATGATTATTGCATCCATTTGTCTATTTACACGGATACAGGCGAAAACAGGCCCCATGAATGCTGCTTAAGTCGGTTCATGAAAGAATGAGCACATTGTCCTCGCATCCATCTCCCTTCCGCATGCCTTCCATCACTTCCAGAAGTTGTCTTTTTGCCTTCTCTCTTTGTTAGAGGTCTAGTGGTCAGAGTTCCTGGATACAGATCCAGAGACCCGGCTTCTATTCCAGGCGCTACCAGGTATTCTGAGAAGTAGTTGGTCTAGAACGGGGTCCACTCAGCCTCGTGAATATAATTCAGGATCTATTTTCAAGGAAATAGCGGCTCCGGTCTAGAAAATCGAAATTAACGGCCGTGGGGAACCGTTGCGCTGACCACGTGACACCCTCTATCCGCAAAATTTGGCACTAACTTCGCCGATAAGCGGCGGTCTCTTGGTCGGTATAGTTCGCTTGAGGACTACAGGCTGTGGAGGAAGAATTGATCGAGGGAAAGAGTGCAGTGTAGGTAGGACGTAGGAACTGGCAGCCGACATGATCCCCCACCACTCATGTTGATTCTTTCGTTGATCTAAGTGAAAAAAGAAACAAAGTTTTTGAATCTGACCGAAGTCTTTAGCAGTCCTGGCGAACACAGGCGTGAAGCTGTATAGTCCCCTGTAGCTGAAGTGATACAGAAACATGTTGGGATGGTTTGCCTTCTGATGCAGCTGAGCGCTCTTGTGCACCCCGTGGATAAAAGATCTATCCGTGAACATCTGGAACACACAGTTTCTGTTATAGCGAAGAAATATGATCTGTGTTTATTAAACCCGGATTATTCGAACCGGAATTTCAACATTCCTTACCGTTTCCATAATCTTCAAATCGCATACTTAACTTTAATTAATGACAAATTAATATGGTTGTACTTGACACAATTATCGTTATTTAGAACTCGTTTTTGTTGTATTTAAATGACGGAACATAATTGGCGTTCATTTAAACAGAGATCAGTAATCGCATCATATTGTAGCAAATTTGAAGAGACGAAAATTCAATCCGGGTATTTTGTCCACAGTTGCCAGGACTCAGAACACATTTTAAACGGAAAACCAGTTTCAGCATCTTTTCTATAGTTACAATTTTACTGAATATAATGAAAATCCATCCAATTTGATACATTCTTTCTGTAGCTGTTGATTTGTAGATTTACAGCTGTAGCCAGTGATAATCTTTTTTGATACATTCTTTCTGTAGCTGTTGATTTGTAGATTTACAGCTGTAGCCAGTGATAATCTTTTTCTAATTTTTCTACTCACGTTAAGAAAGTCGCGACCGTTTTCCGCCGTGATGGTCGTCTGGTTGCCCAGGAAGAACCTGACTAACCGGTCCCAGACATAGGCCACCATATCTTCGCTACCCACCACGCTCTTGCTGAGCTCCAGCAGGCGCGGTCCTAGCAGAGTAAGTCGCCTGTTCAGGTCCTCGAGCAGGGTGTCGTTGCTGAGGATCGCTACGGATAAAGCTGCAATGTTAATCTGAGGGATATCACAAGTAGAGTTCGATTACTATGTGACGGCACAAGACTAAACGAAGGAGGGGAAGTTAAAGGAAACAAGATAATGCAGTGAGTAAACCAATCAGGAGTCACTCCAAAGCAGAAACCGTCTGCCAGCAGCGAACTGAATTGTGTACCCCTCATATCTGCTGTAAGAGAATATGTTCCGTCCATATACAAAAATTGGCATCTTACTCATGTGCCATCACACTATAATCGAGCTCTACGAATTAATGTGAAAGTGGAGTACTGAACTATACAATCAGTGTAATTGAAATGTAAGATCTGGTGGAACTGAAGCACGTGGACTGTAGGATAACGTCAACTGAGATAGTTCGAGTATAGGATCTGGTGGAACTGAAGCACGTGGACTGTAGGATAACGTCAACTGAGGTAGTTCGAGTATAGGATCTGGTGGAACTGAAGCACGTGGACTGTAGGATAACGTCAACTGAGGTAGTTCGAGTATAGGATCAGGTGGAACTGAATTATTATCACTATTGTCACTACAGCCCTTTGTGGGTGTT